ATGTTCTTGTATTGTAATATTTTATCTCTTTTTCTAGTAAAATCATTGAATTACTCATCTTATGTTCTTCATTGATATTGTTATGATCATTAAATCTCAAGATGTTCTTATCATTCCGCATCAACTGATCTCCAAAATGGGCTACAACAAAGGTAAAAAGCTAAAAGCTATTCCAAACATATTTTTAAAACTTCTTTTAGCAAAAATAATAAGTCAATAAGGACTTTTATGAAAAGGACCAAACATACCCTTCTTCCGACTCCTCATTTCTTTCTCTATCATGAACACGCCTCCATCACGTCGCCCCGCTCATCTCTGTCTTAGGCTCTTAGGCTAATGGGAGTGGGGGTCGCTAAGACCCTCGCTAGCCTCGCTAGCACAAGGAAAACACCACCCCCTAGCATGTGCTAAGGGAGGTGTCAAGGAAAAGTCGCTAACTGCTTAGCGTGAGGAGAGAGAGGGAGCAATAGAAAAATAAAAGCTGTTATTGGTCCATTATTTTTGTATTTGTTTTTCATTTCTTTTTTTCTAAAAACAAATGGTTCTCATTGGTTCTTCTCCATTTGTTTTTTTTCTTTTTTCTTTTTTAATAATCCAAGTATTTGTGTTTTGTAAGAAAAGGTGGCAAATAAAATGTATGATGTGACATGTTTTAGCATGGTGTTAGAAGTGTCACCACTCCCCTAGCCTTAGGCATCCATCATGTTCTTTGTGCTCATCATCTCATCAGACCTGCCGCCTCTTCTCTTCGTTCTCCTTTTTGACCTTGTGCATATAATATCATCAATCCTCTTGTATTGGTCATTGTTGTTCTTGTTACTGTCTCTTATTGTTTGTCCGATTCCATCTCGATATCAATTTTTTAATCGACATCTTTAATTTGTTTCATAATTTTCTAATTCAAAAGTTCTGACTAAAAAATCGACACTACAAATGCTTTCCTTATCGGAAACTCCTCTCTGGATCCACCCTTGCTCTTTTTTGTCGTATCTTGTAAGTCCTTTGAGTTCGTTTCATTGTACTTTTAGTTTTTCTGTTTGATTTCTTGTAATTTCTAGTTGATCAGTTATTATTTTGGATTTGGGATGTTATTGGAAGTATTCATTTTTTTAATTAATTAATTTATTTATAAATGAAATGATGATTTAGGAAACAGATAGTTTGTATACATCGTATAATAGTGAGATTGAGGATGATTTAGGTTGCGTTTAGTTACGGAAAAACAATTTTCATTTTCCGTTTTTCGTTTTCCCTTTTCATTTTTTGTTTTTCGTTTTCAGTTGTCATTGGAAAATTTAGAAAACGTGTTTAGTTAAAACTTATTCAACTTTCATTTTCAGTTTTAGAAAATTAGAAAATGCGTTTAGATGTGTATATTTCTACCGGTTTTCATTTTTTAGAAAACGATAGCTGTTGTAGGGTGGGGGTAGGGGCAGTGGTGGTGTCGATGATGGTGACGGTTGTGGTGGTGGTGGTGGTGGTGATGGCGGCGGCGGTGGTGGTGATGCTGGTGATGGGGTAGTGGTGGTGGTTATGGTGATGGTAGGTCGGTGATTGTGGTAGTGGTGTTGGGTGTGTGTGTGTGTGTTATGGGGGTGGGTGTGGGTGTGTGTTTGTAGGTGTGTGTGTTATGGGGGTGGGTGTGTGTGTGTGTGTGTGTGTGTTTATGGGTGTGTGTTATGGGGGTGGGTGGGTGTATGTGTTTGTGGGTGTGGGTGTGTGCGTGTGTATGTGTTATGGGGGTGGGTGTGGGTGTGTGTGTTTGTGTGTGTGTGTTATGGGGGTGGGTGTGGGTGTGGGTGTATATGTGTGTATGTGGGGATGGGCTTGGGAGTGGGTGGGTGTGGGTAGGTAGGGGTATGGTGGGTTGGGGGTAGGTAAAGGAGGGAGTAAGTGTGTGTTTATATTTTAGAAAAATTTTGGAATTAGAAAAATATGGAAAACAATAATTATTGGTTTTCCAAAAAATTTTAACTTCTTTGTAATTTTAGAAAACAGAAAATTTTTATTTTCCGTGAAAAATTTAGAAAAATAGACGAACTAAACGCGTTTTCAAAATTCTCATTTTTCTTGGAATTTTTTTCTGGAAAACGGCCTATTTTTCCACAACTAAACGCACCCTTAGCTTCTCTGCATCCTTCCATCCTTGTAATAGTTTTAGTGACCTTTTTCCTTTATAGATTTATTACTTTCTCGTCTAACCACATAAGTCTTCATTTTTTATGCTTGATTCCTCTACCTTGATCACCATGTCTCCTATTTGAATATGTTTCTTCTGGTTCAGATCCTCTTACCTCTACTTTCATTTTCTCAAGTCTTTTCTTTAGCCATTCAGTTCTTAAACATACTTATGTTGTGTTTCTCTTTTTATCATCGAGTGTTGTTTAGACAACTTGTTTTTAAATCATATTTGTTGAAAGGAGGCTAGAATGAAATATGTGGATATTAAGAGGACATCAGGCGATTATTTTCATTATATATTTAAAGAGGCTATAGTATTGGAGAGGAGGGAAATCTACATATGAAGGCCCTCGATGGTTTAATACTTAAGTATGTAGTAAATTAGTCAACAAAAAATTAAAAAAAAAATGCCTCTATTTTTACTGTAAATCCAAAAACAGAAGAAATTCAAAGTCCATATTGTGCATTGTTCTCTTCCTTTTCTTTTAAGTTCTTTGTGATGTACTATATCTTTATATTATTATATATGATTGAGAAAATATGTTATCAACAATTTAAAATTCAATATTTAACTTTGTAATTTGCAATTGTATTGTTGTGATTTTTTTAAGGTGAACATGGGTTAGATAGTCTACAGTTAGCCTCTCCTTATCATGTCAAAAGGAAACATTTTAGGTCAACTACATTTAAGTCCTTATCAATCATATTTATAGGTTGTCAATTAGGATGCTTTCTGATTTAGTTTCCTTATTTGGATTTGTCTGGTTTGTATAGGTCTACATTGTATATAAAATTAGTCTGATTCTCCGATGGTTATTATGCATTATTCCGACTTTAATTTTGATGGTGACTTGGATCCTACAATGAAGGAACAACTTGACAGGTTTGTTTCCTTTTTTAAATATATATTTTCTTAAGATATAAAATATAAAATATAAAGCAAAAGTGAGTTTTATGGGTTCATAGCAGTCAGGGGTACCCCTATGGAATTCTAAGGTATCCATGTTTAAAAAAGCGTCTTTATAAACAAAAAAAAAATTTGCTGGATAATGACTAATGACTAATCACAGCATTTGAAAAAAATATATATAGGGCAAAGGTTTTCTTAGAGATGGGATGTTTTACTACAATCTCTGTGAAGTTGAGGCGTGTTCAATTTTAAAGCCAAACAAACAAGTTTTTAAAGATCAAATTTCGTATGGTTTTTTCAAAATTTGTCATAAATCGAACAAGTATCTTGAACTTCATGATATTTAGTTAACTCCATGAACAGGCTGATGAAACTTTGTAACAAAATTCCTATGCATTTTGGATTTTAGAATAAATATTTGACCAAGAAAGTCAAATTCAGCAGTTCCAAAAAGGTTGTTTTTTGTTTTTCTTGCGGGTTTTCAAGTATAGCAAAGCACTGAAGAGTATGTGATAAATGTGTTGACAGATTTAACCACCATTCGAGGGCATAACATATTAAATAATACAAAGATTCAAACACATTCCCTTTATTTAAAAACAAAACCTTACGACTTTTTTTTTGTGTAGTGGCTTAATAACTATAACTATATTGGTAAAAAGAACTATGCAAGATTCTTTGCTTTTATGGTTTTTGCTATTCTTATAGTAAAGTTATACCTTCATTGTTTGTCCTTCTTGACTTTTAAGTCATATTTTAGTTTTACCACACCTATCTAACACATGTTTTCAATTGGGCTTTGAGATTTGAAGCTTATACTTCAGTGGTCGACTGGAATCGTTGTTTTGATCAAATGTATCCTCGATCACAAAAGATTTGATGTAGAAGTAGCATCCAAGTTAGGAAGCAGTTTCACTTTAGCCCCTGATGTTATAGTTGTGGTTAGTATTCTAATTCGTCACCATTTTATAAAAGTTGATTTCATATTTTAAAGTTTTACTTTTATCGATTTATTATTATAGTAAACATATAAAATAGCTTTTCAGGGCCAAATCCTGTCACACTGGGCTAGTGGAGGAAATAGCAATGTACTTTGCTATTTCTTGCAAAATAAGTTGCTATTTCATGCATTTAAGCCTTTCTTGGTTAAAATGAAAGCAATAGCAAACTACTTGATTGATTTAAATTGAAAAAAAAACATAATTTACTTTTTTTTAACTACATAACTCATATTATGTCCCTAAGTGCAGGAAAATTGTAGAAAAAGAGTCGACATTGGTTGAGTTGATGCATCTTCAAATGGTGAAGTTGCAAGGCTTAAGTTTGCCATGGAGATTGTGAAAGGAGAAATTACTCAGGGGTTCCTTTTAATGTTGTACATGTTTTGTTTTTCTATAATAAATATTATGCAATATTAGCAATGTATTACATTTACTTACTATTGGGATGATTATTTGTATTTGACATATTAGTGCAATGAATTATCTTATTTATGGTTTTTTATTTTGTATTATGAGACTTTTAATGTGTTATTTAATTTGAAAATTAGTAAATCTATCAAAAAATATAACTTTTAAAACATTTAAAATTATGAGACGCAAAAATATCTGTCGTCTTTCTTTATTATAGGGGCTTTAGTAATACACAATGTGAATTGTAAATGTGCATCGTAAGGTTACGTGTGTGCCGTCTTCCTTTATGACATGGGCTTCAATGACATGCAATGCATGTCGTAAATGCGCGTCGTAAATTTACGACGCCCAAAAGTGTGTCTTCTTCCTTTATGACAGGGCATTTCTTGACATGTATTTGTGTGTCATCTGTGGATTTTATGACACACAATTCGTGTCATTAAAGAGTATTTTTGATCTCAGTCAACGTCTGTGTAGACTGTACAATCGGTAGATATTCATGAGTCAACTGTTGGCACAAATTCTCTCTTGAATCTAGTGACAAAATCCTCCGATGATTTGGAATCGACTGCATCTGGTTCGAGGCCCTGAAAAACCTCGCACCACCAATCCCTACTCCCATAGAAATAAGGGGGTCCACAAGCATCAATATCCTTGAAGGAAACCTCCCGAGCCCTAAGATCACCGGCCTCCAAATCAGCTCGAAGAACCCTAAGTTACTCATCTATCACTGCAATCAACTCTTCCTTGAAAGAAGTAATCAGACCAGGCAAAACTTCTCACATAGACCTCAAAATCTCTGCAGTTTTGATGCCATGAACAACCTCCTCACTCAGCTCTAAATCACAAAAATGGAAGGTCTCCATACTGATTCTGAAAGATAACGGAAACACATCAAACAATGCTTAGTGTAAACCCACACTATGCATACCCACCTACAAGTTCCCCGGTAATCCTGATACACTCCATGACCCAAGTATGGATCCTGTGCTTTCAGTAGTACGGGCCCAATACTACCTTCCACACCTATCCATACTCGTTCCAAGGACTATTCAAAATTCCCAAGTCACTTTGCATCACTCTACCAAACTCCTCACGTGCATGCATATGTCTAGCCATATACATACTACCATACTTCCTAGAATCTTGTTATAGGATCCTCCTATCACTCACTTTCGCACTGCTAGAACCCCTATCAACACCGCTGGTTGTGTGACATCCCTATTTTCACGGCATGAAAAGACCTTTTATTTATGCTTATTTAAAAATAGTGTTTATTTATAAATACGTAATTTGTCTCATAAAAAATGTTTCCGAATAAATCTTTTTCATTGATTATTATAAACTTTGGGATGTCATAACTGATACAAGAAACATAATCATTACATGCCTTTCAATAACTCGTTGCACTAATGACCTATACCCCTTGAATCTCTTAGTGGATAGTACCTTCATACAGTTACCTGTGATACAAAGAAATTGAGTGGGTCAGACTGGGAGCCTAGTGAGCGTATAAGGTTTCCAACCCACAATATTTTTATTATATTTTTTTAAGTATATATAACACATCAACAGATTAATCATGATTTCCCATTCCCGTTATTCTCACTCTTTGATCCTAAATGATAATCTCAAGGGGCCTATCCTAGAGGATCTCTATAACGAATAGACAATAATTCCTTGGGGATTTCTTAGCAATACATGTCAGTAAGGCAACCATGAGGGGGATAGAGCACTCGAATGAACATACAACCCATACTCCCAGATAGTATGATTCATTAACACCTTGTAACACCCCAAAAACCATGATAAAATTTTTGATTTTTATAAAACCATTTCCACAAGAAACCATAGATAAACAATCATTGTTTCCAAATTATATCCAAGAAAAACAAAGTCTCAATTCAATCTCTCAAAACATAAGACAATAAGAGGATGTGTACGATCGCCTTCTCATGCCTCGATCATTAGAAGTACCTGAAACATTGAAATCAACAACTATAAGGCAAAGCTTATTGGGTTCCCCTAAAATACCCCACACCAAAATATATATATACAATGCATGCACATCGGGCCCACAACATAAGACTTGATTGCCCCCAAGCTCACAACATAAGATCGGATTACCCTCCCGACCCTCATCTTATGACTGGATTGCTCCCGAGCCCACATCAAAAGACTGGATTTCCTTCCCGGCCCTCAGCTTATGACTAGATTGCTCCCGAATTTGTTGGCTTTCAGCTCAAGGAAGTATTACCTCAACCCAACCACGCCATGTCGACACATGCAACAATAATCAATGACTAGATAGTGCAGGTAATCATACAGATCTACCAATATAACAGATCACTACAACATAGCAACATCCTATATATAACAACCCGTTATTTTCAAGTCAATAAAAGTCAAACTTGCTAAATAAACATCAAATTGTCAATTTATTAAATTGATAAGGCTTAAATATGGTTTAAGATATGGAAATTTATTTTATTTAAGTGTTTTAAATATTGGGATTTAAAACACCTTGGCCGAAATTACCAAAAATGAATTCAAGCGAACCAAAATCATCCCCACCGAAAACCCTCGTAAGGTCCCACCTTCAGACCGCAAACCCTCACCGAAATCTTTTTTATTGACCAAAGACTCATCCTCCGTTGAACCTTAAGGACCGAAAACAGCCTTGTTCTCGGTGGGATTTAGACTGAAATCACCTTGATTCTGGTGGATCTTAGACCGAAAACCTCTTCTATATATACGTGTTTGACCGTGAACACAATTCATTTCTCAACTTTCCAAACCGTAAACACTCCCATTTGCTCTCAAGTATCATCCGAAGACCTTCAAATCTTCAACCGAAATCATCATCCCACCTTCAAATCTTCATAAATTCACCAAGAACACCAAGAACAATCTTCAAATCTTCAAGCACACCAAAAACACCTAGCACACCGAAAACCCCCAGGAACACCGAAAACGCCAAAAAAACACTCCCTTAATTACTTCCTAACACTTTTTGTAAGTATTTTCCTTATTAAGTGTTGTCTAACACTTAATTTATTATTTGAATTATTTAAATTAATATCTTATTAATTTAAATACGATATCGCGAATAATTATTATTAGGACACGACTACGCACGCGGGTTCTAACGCGAGGATCATCGCTACCACTTCGCATCCAAACATGAACTTACATCCGAGGTGAGTTCATACCCCTACGTTTTCACTATTTTTCCATGTTTTTAGGGGGGAATACAAGTACAACACAATTAAATTTTGTGCTAACATTCAAACAATTTCAAACGATTTCAAACATTTCAAATTATTTTAAACTGTTTCAAGTTATTCTAAATTATTTCAATTGTTTCAACTATTGTTTTTACCAAAACATATATATATATATATATATATATATATATATATATATATATATATATATATATATATATATATATATATATAGATATATATATATATATATATATGAGATTTAACAGACTTAGGACTGGTGTTTTCGCCTTAACTCCTATTCCTTGTTTGGTTGTGGGCTTCGGGTAAATTCACTTGCCCGACTGTCTTTTTAATTTTAATTATATATGCCCAATATATATATATATATATATATATATATATATATATATATATATATATATATATATATATATATATATATATATATATATATATATATATATAACTTTAAACCTTTGTAATATGCTGAGCAAAGGAGATTTTTCAGAAGTGCTTACATTACCAACAGAACATACTTATAAACTATAATATATATAGTTTATGGAACACATATACTACTCTACTAATTCAAGAAACAAACATATAAAATATAATAGCTATAGTCTATGTACCACTTACAACATTGTTACTAAGTTCAGAAATACACTACGAACGAACATATGAATTATAATTGGTATAGTTTAAGGAACGTACACACTACTTTTACTAAGTTCCAATTTCACTACAAGAACAAACATATAAACTATATTAGGTATAGTTTAAGGAACATACATACATTATTCATTACAAAGTGATTTTCATTTATTCTACACGTACTCGTCAGTATAGCTTTGTGATACACACTTCAAGTACTTACCTAAGTACCAACCAAGCCCTCAAATTTTAACCAGAGTCTCCTGGAGGGAGAGCGTGAATTTGTGTATAGATCTATACGAGACTGACAATCCCGTACCTTAACTGTTAGCTACAGTTAGGCCGGCAGGCCTAGGGTGACAAATGTCATAACTATTCCGACGCCTGAAGAACGTCGTTTTAGGCCATCCTAGGTCATCAAGCATGGTTATAATAACTCACAGTTTGGTATTGAACAATACGATTATTGTAAGAATACATAAACAACTTCAAGTAGTTTTATTAAATGATAAAACTACAATACAGTACATTACAACTAGTGGAATCCAGGCACCTACATTTACAGAGTTTTCATACAAGTACACTACAGAATACTATTTTCCAGTACAGAGAAACTTACATTTCAGAGAAACATACATTCTCACTTAGTTTTATTTACTAATAAGATTATGAAATGCTATTAACTGAGTACAAAAAATTTTACGCATTTTTGTCTTATGGCATTAAGACTACAATACATTTACAACAGAAAATAGAGGATTTTCTGGGAGAATATACTAACATTTTCAAAGATCAAAGACAAGCTTTCCATCTCAAAAACATACTTATGAACTCACCAACTTAAATGTTGATACACTTTCAAAATCACTTGTATTCTCAGAGAACCAGTAGAGAGGTATACTACAGGTTTTTGAGGAGACGGGGCATTCATGGTGTCACGTCTATACTTTTGTTATACATTTTGATGTTATACAAACACTGTTGCAAACACAATGTAAACAATATATTATCAATGCAATGGTTGTTGTTACTTTGGTTACTACTATTCAATTGTTGTGATACTGTACACGACGTCCTCTACCCCCGAACGTTTCCGCCATTCCAGTTTGGGGGTGTGACAGATTGGTATCACAGCATTGTCTATAGTGAACTAAGTATATCAAACCATGCAAGATATACAACTATAAATACAATGGGGCCAAAGTGCTCTGACTAAAAGTATACTTTTAAAATATAAGTATTATATAAGTGATGAATCGTGAAATCAAGTATTAATCATAATCAGAGTTATACGAATGCAGATTGAACAAACGATGTAAATAAGATCTGGTTTCTGCTCATTTATGCTTTCAACTTTTACAGAGAAAAATAGACAGGTTCTGTAAAGGACTCTTATCTAACTCTAGTAAAGTTCCATATTTATAGGAACAGTGAAAGCATATAAAAAATACTAAGGCATTGACAATTAAGCTTCGTACGAAATAAACCTCAGTAAATAAACTTAACAAAACATACGAAAGGTAAAACAAACTTCGACATATTACAATATAATTCGACCCTAACAATCTCCCCCTTTGTAAAAATGTCGACCTTCATCAGTTCAAGAGTATCTGTATAGCATACAGCATAACCCTTCGAATCTTAGTGTACCATGAGATTATTTTCTTCAGTTCCTTCTTATCTCCTTCGTTATTCTTCTTGCAGCTATTCATACGAACAATGAAATTCGTATATTGGGATGTTGTATATCTTTCCATTTCGGAAGCTTCAAACAAGAATCTTTTTGCCTTCCCGTTTTTATCTTTCCCATCAAATACCATACCAAATGGTTTCAAACATATTTCTCCGTCAGCATACTTCTTCAACTGAGGTTGAGTTAAAGGAAGTTCCATTGGCACTTTTACAGTCAATCCCTTTTTGTTGTAGCTAACTCAACATCAGTAAGTGCTAAACACTCATAATAGTTGTCAATGAAAATCTTG